TCTGGGGTCCAAAGGGCTAGTGGCATTTTGGCACAGACATGGAGCCTCATCTCCCTCGGGTGTGCCTATAGCATTAAGAAGCCATGTCAGAGCCTCCTTGGTGGTGCATTGGATTAAAGGGCAGCACCATGAAGCTGACCACAGCCACTTCACCACCAGTTCCATCCCTGGCCAGAGAGCTGACCCACAATGTGCGGCAGACCTCCCTGTCTTCTTCTGTTCCCCTCAGCAGTTTGTTTTAGTCAACCTGCCTATTCTTCTCCCCACTCTGCCTCTGGTGAATCCTCTCACCACTCTGCACCTCTGGCCTATACCCCAGTTCTGTATGCATAAGTAAATATTTTTTTTTTTTAAGATTTATTTATTTATTCGTACAGAACTGGGGTACAGGCCAGAGATGCAGAGGGTGAGAGGATTCACCAGAGACAGAGCGGGGAGCAGAACAGGCAGATCGAAGAAGTACACTGCTGAGGGGAGCAGCGGGCGGGCCAGGAGAGGTCTGCCTCGCCATGTGGTCCCTCCGGGGCAGGCGGGGATTGAACTCATGCGGAAGTGGCTTTAGTTTCTTAGTGCAGTGCTTTAACCCGCTGCGCCACCAGGGAGGGCCAGTAAATATTTTTTTAAAGGAAGAGATGTCATATACTGTTATAAACCAACATTACCTCTCCCTATATATCTATAATCTACCTACCTACCTACCTACCTACTTACCTACCTACCCACCTTCCTACCCACCCACCTACCTACCTATCTAAAATATTTGATGCAGTTGTATCAACCTAAATAGGGAAAGGAGTAGAAGGGGTGTCAAGGTATCAGTCATTTGCTTCTTCACTGACGTTCATCTGGGTTGTTTCCTTTGGCTTCTCTCACAGAAATTATTTCTGTGATGTCTGGATTTTGTATCATCTGTTTCTTTTCTATCACCTATTAGTTTTGTATCATTTTGTTTCTTTTAGCCAGAAAAAAAGAGAGCCAGGAAACTAAGTAGGGTGAAAAAAAAAGAATGAGCTTCCTTAATTTTTAGTGTTGGCCGGGAGGGGACCCAGTAGATTGTGGGGGAAGAAGATGGGGACTTGGGTGCTGGATGTGGTTTGGTAATATACAGCTGAAGAGGTGTGAATCTGTACCCCTAAATCATATATAGTGGTGTAAACCAGTGTTACTGGAACAAAAGTATTCAAAATACAGTAAAAATAAATGGAAAAAGATTTTTAAAAGAGCATTGCAACTCATTAAGAAAAGAAGACAAACCACTCAAAAGAATATGAGAATAATAACCAACCCTTATGGAACATTTACCATGTTCCAGAAACAGCATTTTGCATAGATCATCGGTTTTTATAACCCCTTACATGGCAGGTCATCAGCCCTATCTTTAGGTCAGGAGTCTTAGAACAGAAAGGCCTAGTAACTTGCAAAAAGTAACTTACATGACAAAGCTGGGATTTCAATCCCAAGTTGTTAATAATCACTGCTACTCTGTCTCCCAAGAAAAATAGAAAGAGGACATGTACAAAGAAAGAAAATGAGCTGCCCAGTTGTATCTAACATTGCATCTGAGAACACAGTGATTCTCAGACGCAAATTTCTACATTCAAACACCTCTGAGTCGGGTTGCATCCTACTATCAATCACATCTTAGATTCAGTGAAATACTGTAAGAGAAATGCAAATTAAAACCACCTATCAGATTGGCAAAGAACAAAGCACTGGCTAACATACTGTGTTGGCAAGGGTGTGGGGAATCAGGCTCTCTCCAAAGTTGCAAGAGTCTAAATGGGCCCAGCCTCGGTGCAAGGCAGTTTGGTGTGAGCTGGCAGATTCTAATGCAGAAACACCTTTGACCCAGCAATTCCATCTCTAGGAGTGGATCTTTTGTGTCAGTTGACCTTAAGAACAAATTGGCATCAATGCACATCACAGCAAGTTGCATAATGCAAGACTGAGTACACCCTCAACATCTAGTGAGAGAGAGCCTGAATCAAAAAAGGTCTGTCTTGGAGTTGAAAAGCTACACAGCTGAAAAAAAGAATAAGGGAGCTTTCTGAGCGTTGTTATGACAGTCTCAAAATGCAGAGGCAGAAAAAGGCAAAGGGCAGCATCTGTGTGTCTACCTTTTCGTGGGACAGAAAGGGACAGCCAGGCCTCTGCATCCGGGACTTGCAAGGGGCTTAGCTTAGCTGTGGCCTCTGGGAACGGAGGGCTTGCGGGAACATGAGTGGGGAGAAATTTTCATGTTAGACCAGGAATTGGTAATTTTTTTAAAAATGTATGCGTGCAAGACCTGGGGTGTAGGCCAGAGATGCAGGGAGGACTGGGGGAGCCGGTGAGAGGATTCACCAGAGTGGGGAGAACAGGCGGATCGACCGAAATACACTGCGGAGGGGAGCAGCGGGCGAGACAGGAGAGGCCTCCTGCGCCTTGTGGGTCACCTTCCTGGCTGGGGTTGAACTCAGGCCACAGTGGCTGGCAGTAGCTTGATAGCACTGAGACTCTAACCCCCGTGGCACCAGGGAGGCCTACATTTTCTTCTATAAAGGGTCCTATTGTCAGCATGTAAGGCTGTGTAGGTCATTAGATCTGTCAGCCCCGCTGCTGTGTTGGTAAAGTGGCCACGGGCAATAAGCACATAGGCGGGCATGGCTGTGTGCCAGTGAGAAATACACCGAAGCTTCAGTGTATTATGTTGGAAGATAATCTTTTCTCCTCCAAGCATTAAAGATAGATGCTTGTGGTTCATTCATAGATAAAACAGATTGAATTGGCTGTTTTGTAGCATTCTTAATCTTTTTTTTAAAAATAATTTTTGAGTATTTATCCTTTTCTTTTTGAAATTTATTTATGCATTCAAGAATTGGGGTATAGGCCAGAGGTGTGGGCAGTGAGGATTTCCGAGAGACAGAGTGGGGAGCAAAACTGGATTGACTGGAACACACTGCTGAGGGAAACAGCGGGAGACAGGAGAGGTCTGCTGTGCCATGTGGGTCACTCCCTGGCCGGGGATCGAACTCGTGCTGCAGTTGCTGCAGACAGCCTTACAGTGCTGCACTTCAACCCCTTGCACCCCTAGGGAGGGCCCTGATTCTTAACCTTTACTGTGATCACGTGTTACCTATTCTACAATAGTGTTTAATATGGTAGCTCGAAGTAAACGTTTAAGTTTCACAAAAGCAGCGGGGTTAGAAGTTAGGGGCAGGCATGATGCCCGAGCAGAGGAAGGACCTGCCGTTCCCAGTCCCAGCGGGGCTGGAGCCCAGCTGTGTGCCCGCCACGGCCAGCTGCTCGGCCCCATCGCCCGCTAGCAGCCCAGATCCGCCTGCCCGCAGGCCATCTTGAAGCAGCTGGGGCATCTTGGGCAGAAACTGGACTGTACCTAGAGCCAGCGTGGAAATAGCTGGATTTCTGGCTCCTCTTGACTCAGTTGATGTCTTTGGGGCCCAAAATGCCCCGAGCCCGGAGCCCTCAGTGGTAGCTGCTGCTTAACCTGTGTGGTGCTGTTTTCTCATCAGGGACCCACTTCTCACTGGCTGCCTGCTTCCTCACCTTCCTGCCACCCAGCAGCTGTCTGACCTCAGTGCCTCGGCATCCCCGCCCGCAAGTGGGACAGAGCGTACTTGGACATGGAGAGCCAGCCCCAGGAGCTGGCATTTGGTGAGTGTTCGATAGATTCAGTGCCCCCTGCATTTGCATTTCCTGGCAACTACAGCCCCCACCCCCGCTGCCATCTCACAAATGACCCCAAAACTCCAAGACCCGACACATTTCTGGTGTTGACAAGCTTTTCAGCCCCTTGGATGCAGGAGCAGCAAGATGGGCTGGAGGTGGTCTGAATGTGTAACCGTGGAAGCCTGGGCAAGTCACTTCACCTCTAGACTCAGGCTAATTTTTTGCTGGCTCCTGGGGAATTAACACAGGTGCCTAGGCCCTGGGAGACCCCCCGGCCCCAGAAGGGCCAGAGCCTGAAGACACTAGGCTGTTCATGTGGCCGATGTGACGTGCCCTACCACAGATTCAGTTTTGTTTCGGGAATCCGCCCTCCCACCCCACTTCCTGCGGCCTGACCTAGCCCTACAACTCCGGGTAGACGTGCTTCTGCACCACCAGAACTCCTCCCTTCATCACCTCTGCTGGGTGACTGGCCCACACAAGACAGTCCAAACCAGAGAGCGCCTGGGGCTTTTGCTTGACTGTTGGAAAGCGGAGTTTCCACTGGAATTGAGGAGCTAGTCTGGTGCCACTTCACCTCAGGGCGAGCCAGCGACCAGGTTCTGACGACTCACGTGAGCCTTTGGCTCTTGGCAAGCCTCGTCAGAACCACATCTGCACTTTCAGTTGTGTGAATGAATATAACTATTTTAGCTTAACTTGTAGTTTCCTGTCATTTGTGTTTATGAATTCTGATGCTTCTTCCTCAAAAGTCTAGTGAGGGGCAAACTTTAAGGAAATGAAATCATATATCCGTTTTCAGTGCTGTATCTGTGACTGACTCACCATTTCTTTGCTCCCAGTAGGCTTTCTTCTTGCTTTCTGGCTAATACTGTGGAAACTATGTAGCCCAGAATAGGTTGTAATGTCTGGAGTGTTCGCTACTGAATCCCAGTGCCTGGCACACTGCCTTATAATTGTATAAATGAACAAGATACTCACTTGTCTGAGATACCCAGTGTCTCCCCACTTGCCTCAGCCTGTGACTCTTTAGTTCCTTTTTTCCCAGCCTCACACTCCACTTTCCCTTTGCCACTCGGGCCCAGTCACACTAGCGGCCCGTCTCTTAAAAGCCCCACGCTTGTTTCTGCCCCGGGGCCTGTGCACTGGCAGTCCCTTCAGGAGTCCTCTTCCTTTAGGTCCTTTCCCAGCAGCTTCATCACCTCCTCCAGATCTTAGCTCACACAGCACCTGAGCGGGGTCCTCCCTGACCACCCTGCCAAAGCAGCCCGCCCTGCTCCCCCAGTGTGGCTTCATCCCATTTGATTTCCTTTACAAATAAGCACCTGAAAGTCCATGTGCATTTATTTACATTTATTGTCTCCCTCCCCAGAAGGTCAGCTCTGCCAGGGTTAAGCTTTGCCTGTTTGTTCACTGCTGTGCTCTAGTGTCCAGGTGAGGCCTGGTCTACAGCAGGTGCCAGTCAGTGTTTGTCACAGGGATTCACCGGTAGGCAGCTGCCTTCATCTCTCAACACCATGACCTCCTGAATGAAGAGCATGCTTCACCAAGTCGTGGGTCCCTGCCACGATGTGTCAACATTAATTCACTGTCTCGGGTAACAAAGCTCCTATCCTGAGCCCAGGGTTGGTGGGGGAGTTGGGAGTGGAGTGGGGGCCTCACCCACCGAGCTCCTTACCACCCCTCCCAGCCAACCAGCCAGGAAACACCACGCAGCCAAGGTTAAATAGACGCTTGCTGCTTTGTTATAAATATATTATGTACATCCAAAAACATGACATTAAAATATTACTCCATGTTACAGAAAAGATATTAAGGCTTTCTATTATTTACATTAAACAAGCAAGCACCTTTAAAAAAAAAAAAACCCAATCAAAACAAAAAGCCCCTCTTCCTTCTCTGACATACCCCTGACCGGAGGGGACAATGCATCTCCTTGCAAACCGCAAAGACCCTTTGCAGGGCTGTGCCTCCCGTTAGAAGCATCGGCTCTAGCTGGCATCACGGACAGATGGGGAGGGGCAAAGAAGGGTGCTCCAGACCCGGGCAGGGGACGGCCAGCTGCATGTCGTCAACTGGGCAGGCAGCTAGGGATGTCCACCCACCGAGGCCTGCGGGTTCAGCTCGCAGGGCCATGGTACAGGGACTCTGTAGCAGCTCCGAGGCCACCTGGGTCAGACAAGGAGGGGCAGGTAAGATGACTCAGTGGCCCAACACCAGCCATGCTGAAGGGCTGCCCAGGGGCGCAGGGACCGGGTAAGCGCCCCCTAACCAGGGTGGCTGGCAGGTGGGGCTCCTTCAGCAGTCAGGCTTGGCAGACAGAGCAGCTCAGATGGCCGGGGAGGGGCCGAGGAAAGAAAACAGAAAAGAAAGGACATGAAGAATCAGTGGCTCAAGTATTCTGTCACAAGGGGTGGGCTGGGCTGCCCGGGCCCAGCCCAGGAGGCGTCCTCTCCACTTGGAGGGGCCAGCGAGGAGGCTGGGATTTGGCAGATGGCTTCGGTTTGGGAGGGGGACCGGGGAAGGTTGGCAATAAGGTGACAGGCTCGAAGGAGTTATTTGATCTTCTGGGCCCATTTCATGTCATCGGCCCGAGGCTTCTCTCCCGTCAGGCCCTGGATCAGGTCCTCCAGCCGTCGCCAGAAGCCCATCTTCTCCAGAGGGTAGTTGAGCCAGCCTGCAATAGAAACAGAGCGGGGAGGCTGAGAGGAAGAGCAGCAGTCGAGGGGCTGCAGGGAGGAAGCGGGGCGTCACCAGGGCCCAGAAGTGTGTGAGAGCCTGTAGAGGGCAGGGACAAGGGAATGGGGCTCTGACAGGCCCCCATCCCCTCACCCCTTCCCTTTCTTCCTGAGCTAGATGCCAGGCACGCTGGCAGTGCATAACATGCAGCTCGAATGCCACCTCTTCCGGGGAACCTCCCCTGACCACAGCTTAAGCAGCACTCCATGCCTGTCACTGCTTTTATTTCTTTATGGCCTTTCTGATAATCAGTAGCCACTCCCGCTGAATCACCACTTCCCTGTGTTGTGCGGCCCACCAATGAGAAGGTCAGCTCTGAGCAGCAGAGCTGTGTACTCAGACCTGGCCAGTGCTGGCCAGCAGCAGGCCCGATAAAAGAGCGAGCAGAGTGAACACCCCAGGAGGGCAAGGGCCGCCCGCCTGCCTCCCCCTCCCCCCAGGAGCTGCGCTGGGTGGGTCCTTCCATGCTGCGCCGGTGCCGCACCTGTGGTGATGCAGAAGTAGGTCTCGTGGGGCGAGACATGGTGGATGCGGTGGTGTTTACGAGGCAGGATGACGTGCCAGTCCTGCAGGAGTATGACCCAGCGTGGCAGCCCGAAGTACGTGTGTGACCACTTGTGGATCTGGTTGGTGAAGGTGCTGAAGATGATCAGGCAGAAGACAAAGCATTCCCAGGGGTACAGCTGCTCCAGGGCCTCTGCGGGTGGGGAGGGGGCGCCCACAGCCGTCACACAGGGTGGGGGCAGCCACCAGTCTGGCCGTCGCATTTGCCTGTGGCCAGCTCGCATCCCAGGTCAACGCCCTGGCCTCCTTCCAATATCCCCCAGAGCATCAGGCCGGCTCAGACACTCCCCTGGGCAGGTAACACGAATGAGCAAGGTGGGCCAGGTGTAGGGTTGTGTGGGGTAGTGGGCAGCGCTGTGTCCTGTGTAAAGGTGCCAGCCACATTCAGCTCAGCTCTGACCCAGTGAAGCCAGGTGGGAACAAAGAGCAGGTGGCCAGAGCAGATTGCTCAAGAGAAGCGGGAAACCCAGACCTTTATGTCACATATCCCAATTTTGCATGGAGAGAACTAACATTTTTTGCAGTACCTTGAAGGACCCACACACACACATGCCATGGGTGGATGGGGGGTCTACCTCTGACAGACCCCTGCCACCAGGCACACATGCTCACCAGGGGTCTGCGTGTGGAACTTGTAGGCCATGTTCAGTAGTGGCAGCAGGGTCACCAGGCAGTTGTCCCCATTGGTCTCAATGAAGTCGTGTCGTGTAATGGCGGTGGGGTCGATGTGATGCTCCCGGAATGGTCGGATGAAAGCCTGGGGGGGCAGCGAGGGAGATCCGATGGTCAGTCAGTCCATGGTGCTCAGCGCTCTCCACAACCTTGTGCATATGCTCACTCAGGTCAATCTCCCCACCACTGGGGTGCTGCAGGAACATTCCAGTGATAGGCCTCACTCCAGGCTCCAGTGTCTAGTTTAGAGCTCGAGCCCAAGGATGGGTGGAAATGACCTGGCTGGGACCTCAGGCTGGCACCGCCTCCCTGTGGGCCTCAGCCTTGCCACCTGAGCTGTGAGGGGGCTTGGAGACAACCTCTGCCTTTACCCCAAGATAGCAGAAGAGGTTCCTCAGTAACATACAGGACCCTTTGCTTCTTGACTATTATCCAAGCCCCTGCCTGGTAACAACCGCTCCTCTCTTAGAATAAGGTGTCCCCAGAGGGGCTGATCCCATCCCCCCATTTAAGCAATCAGCAGAACCCGACCTGGAAAACAGATTACGCCCTCTGCCACGCGGACTGGCAGAGCACGGGCATGAGACCCCAGCTGAGCAGAGTGAGTGAGCCGTGACAGAGGAGGTTCTCCTGAGGCCGGGGAGGAGAAGAGCCCAGACAGCTCCACCCCCTCCGTAGGTGGCCTCCAGAAGCGGGAGCCCGGAGACCGGAGCCTGCGGGGTGGAGTCGGTGTGGCGCGGCCGGACCGGCAGGTCCTCGTGGCTCTGTTCTGAAACACTCAGTGAGCGGCCGGTACCTCTGTACTGGAATCCAGCCTTAGGCCAGTTTGCAGTGGGTTTTCTGTTACTTACAACCCAAGGTGATACAGGTGAAGTTAGTTAAGTCGGTCAAACATCGAGGTGCAGCAGGGCAGGGAGAGGAGGGCAGGATGTGGCCCCCCCCAAGGGTCCGAGGAGGCGGACACATCTTAGAGCTCCCCGGCTGTCCCCGGCCTGGCGGTTTTGCTTCCAGTAACCCCAGGGGACTGTTACTCTAGGCCCAGAGGAGGGGTGTGGGGGGCCGGCAGGCATGACGGTTCCCGTCTCTCAGACGGGACAGGCTGAAGAGGAAGGGGCGAAGGGCCGGGCTGTGGCCAACGTACCCACCTTCCCCACGATGGGCAGCTCCACGGAGCCCCACGTGTCGGCTCCCCAGTGCACCAGGCCAGACAAGAAGTCAGCAATGAGCGCCCCTGCAACTGGATGGGAGCAGGTGAGCAGGGTTGGGGCACAAGGGGACGCCCTGCCCCGCTCCCACCTTGCTTTGGGGAGTCAGGCATCCATTCGCTCCGTGCTTGCTCATTCATTCATTCGAGGGGTGGGAATGGGTCTTCCTTCTCCCCTTGGGGCACTGCTCCCCCTGAAGGGGGCCTTAGCAGTGGGCTCAGGCCTCATTCCGTCCCTTTACTTGCTTTGCTCTAGGAGAGGCAGGACTCATTTGCAGACGAGTCTTGAGATTACACTGGGCATGTAGAGGTCAGCCCATTGCTGTCCTGCTGGGGCTGAGTGTCCCTCTTCTCGGCGCCCCTTCCGCCCCACAGGGAGGCCCACTCTGCTCCAGTGCAGCCGGAGACAAGATGGGAGTGACCTGGGGGATCTGACGCCGGGCGGTGCCTTGGTGAACCTGGCCATTTGCTTCCCTTTCGGTGTTCGCTCCCAGTCTGTTCAGAACAGGACTGGGGCTGCTCAGAGGCCCCAGCACAAACTCACCTGAGGGATCAGCGCAATACAGAGCTTAAGAACTCAGATCTGGACTCAAACTCCAGCTGTCACTCATCACTAGCTGTGTGACACTCTGCATGCTACTTAACCTCTCTGTGCCCGTTTCCTTTTGCTAGCTGGGAAACGGTGAGGAGGAACCACCCACTGCATGCTCCGGATGCTGCTACACACTGCCTGTCTCTGAGCGGGGCTGTGTGGCCGGGAGCTAAGGTGGTGGGAGATCAGCCCGTGTTGCTGGGCAAGCCCCTGGCCTCTCTGGCCACAGCAGCATGACCTGCATCATGGCAGCTGCTGAGCTGCCACCGGGGGCGGCCAGCGATGCCCCCACGTGCTGCCTTCCCGAGGAGGGGGCCGGCGGGCCGCGGCGTGCCCCTGCGCCCTCGCAGCCCTGCCGGCCTCCCGTCGTCTCAGAGTGGGCTGGCCTGCTGAGCAATCCCTGCAGAGGGACTCACGTGGCTTCTGTTCTGAACCCAGCTTCCTGCGCCAGCGTAGTGCTTCTAGAGGCCTCCATGTGGCCGCACCAGCTGTCCATCCTCGGTACTTCAGTACTGTCTGGACACGCCCTTCAGCTGGTGCCGGGCGTCGGGCTGTCGTGACTCAAACGCCGTGGCGTTCAGAGGCAGCCTGCGCGCAGGCCTCGCCTCCCCGTGCGGACGCAGTCAGCTGTTTTCTTTCGTACTTACTTGACATATCGAGCACTTACAGGGACGAGGCCCTCTGCCAGCCCCTTCAGTGTTTCATCTCTTAATCCCTGAAGCGTACCAAGGCCAAGCCTGAGCTGGTCTCATATCTGATCTCCTTAGTCCTCCTGAGCAGGTAATCCTTTCAGATGACGGTGACAATGATAGTGTCACACAAGCAGTATTTGTGGGAAAGGTTCACACCGGAGCACTCCTTGGTGCTGACGCTGCGTTAAAGGGTGCGCCCTAGGGGCCCCTCACTCTGCCCACGCGTGGGCACAAAGGCTGCCTGACCAGGGTCAGGGTCACCGTCACATCCGTAAGTCCTGTTGGTAGCACACACCTGCCTCCCTAGAGGGGGTGATCGCGCCTTCACCTCTGAGCCTGTCTCCCCAGGACACACGGGCATCGCCAGCAGAGGGTTCTCTGTGAAATACCGGCCGCGGCCGCTGAGTGTGTGTGGAGTGGGGGTGGGGGCGAGGGCCTGGCAGCAGAATGGCAGGGGTCCCAGCAGCGAGAGGGACACTAGGTAACCACTGAGGAAACCTGAAGCACTCTGGGCCTCAGTTCATAAGAGTTTTCGTACCAGCACATTCACTGCGGCAGCCGTGACGCCAGCGGCACAGGCGTGAGGCTGGAGGAACCTGGGGCAGGGAAGTGTGGGGGAACTCTCTGCACTTTCTGCTCATGCTTTGTAAATGTAAAACTGTTCTAAAAAATAAAGTCTATTTTTAAAAAGCGTGCTCTGGCACTTCTTGACCGACGTGACAGGCCCTGCCGCGTCCTGACTTCCCGGGGGAAGGAGATCGGGAAGAGGACGGGGCGGCCAGGCGAGGGGCTGCAGCCGTCCGGGGTTGTTCCTGGTGACGCGGGGCCTTGACATCAGATGGGCTGGACGTTCGTAGTAACAGTCTCCGACGAACTCCAACCTGCCAACGGGCTGGGCCCGTGAGCCCCCGAGATCCAGGGAGAGCCCCAGTGCGACGCCAGGTAGCACTTTAAGTCCCAGCCCCTCTCAGAGCCTCAGTCTCGGCACCTGTCAAATGACCTGAAGGAAGCAGCAAGCGGGAGACGCTGAGCTGTGTGTGGGTTACTTTCGGAGGGGAGCCTGCCTTGGCCCTCGGGTGAGGGGTGGGGGTGGCAGGACTGGCTCTTCGTGGGCAGGTGGCTGCTGCCCGTGGCTGCTTTAGTGGGGGCAGGGGTGACAGAGGCCAGGACACAGAAGCTTCTTTGTCCCAGTGCTGGAGGCAGCAGCTGGTAGCTGGCTCACTCTGGGGGTGGCTTCAGCCTGGTCACCACCCTGTCTGCTGGACACTGGGACGGGATGGCGGATGACTCGCTGCAAGCTACCCTGGCTGATGGGTGCCCCTGAGGCGCCCTGGGTCCTTGGGCCTCTCTTTCTCCAAGGATGCCCCAGCTGGGACTTCTTTGCCCCTGGCCACCCCAAGGCCTGGTGTGGAGAGAGTATGGCTGGACAAAAGTGGACGCTGCTGGCTGATCCCTGCGGTCCTGGCCCCCAGTCCTGTCTTTACTACCTTTCAGCTCAGACTCTCATGGAGAAGCCCCCTGGCCCACCAGACTGGTACCAGAGGCTATGCGATCGCTGACCTCACTGCTGACCTTTGCACTCGGTGCCTGTGCCTAGAACTCTGCCAGAAAATTCCTACTCCCTTCAAGGTCCAAGTCACAGACCCTCGTGCTTTTCCTCCACTCCTCCCAAGGGCAACAGCTCAGGGCTCCCACGGCCACCAAGACAACAGTGCTTTTGTCAAGGTCTCTCGTGACCCCCTGTAGCCCCATCTTGCTGGGCAGCTTGGTGGCTGCGTCTAGCTGACCCCCAGGTCTTCTGGAAACATGTTCTCCTGGCGTCACCTGGAGGCCTCGTGCTCTGTTCTCTACTCCCACACAGCCCTCGGGACACTCTGGCATCGCCTGAGCACCAAACACTACCCATCTATCCCCAACTTGCAGGTTTCCATTGCAGCTGCCTCCCTGACTCCAGACTCAACCCTCAGATTTCCAGCTTCCTGCCCCACACCTCCCTGTGCTCTCAGGCAGGGATCTCAAGCGTCTCCCCACAAGCCAGCTCCTGCAACTGTTTCCACCTTCCAGTACTCAGGCCAAAGCCTGCCTCCCTTTCTTGCCCGGACAGCCAACCTGGCACCACCCTGCGGCAGCTTCATCTTCCCCGCCCTACCTGGTGTGAGCCTCTGCCACTGTCCGGTCCTACCTGCCCCCATCCATCAGGATCATGGCAGCTCACCCTGTGGGGCTCCCCATGCCCCACAGAATAAAACCCCCGGTCCGGGCTATGACCTCCAGGCCACTGTGTCTCCACGCTGACCCCAGCTCCTTTTCCCGTTAGCTTTCGGCAGCCACAGTGGCCGCCTCTTCATTCCCCGAATGCACGCACACACCGCACAGGACCTTTGCACTTGGGTCCATTCCACCTGGACTGCCCGTCTGTGAGCTACCTGCCTGAGCCCCGCCCCAGGCCTCCTGCAGGTCTTTCTGCAAATGTCACTTTCCAGCGAGACATACTCTACCCTCTCGCTGCTTTCCTGCCTAGTCCTTCACCTCTGTCTTGCTGTCCAGCATTGCATCATCTCTTTGCGTTTATGCATCATCTCTGCGTTTATTAGCCACGCACCTTTTAATGCTCCCATCTCTCTAGGTCCTACCAGAAGCACTGGGGCACAGTGCTGGGCCAGGGGCAGTTTCTACAGGCTGGCACGGTGCCTTACCACCTGCGTGCTAACACACAAATCAGGGTAGCTACTTAAATCGATTAGGAACTGAGCAAACACCAAGCAAACACCGTTATCAGGAGATTGTCTGCTCTTATCAGCCCAGAGACAAAGGTGAGTGTGTGGGGGAAGCTGGCATCACATGGCGTGGCTGGATGGTCGGAGACCTCGTGGGCCCAGGATTGGCAGCTCTGGCCTCAATTAGGGAAGGGGGGCAGTGACCTGTCTGCAGGGGGGTCTCTGCCGCTGTCTGGACGCAGCCAAGTCGAGGATGGTGATGGGAAATGCTGAGTAGGCAGCGACGGAGAGCCAGAAGTGCCCAGGATGGGGTTTGGTGCAAAGCAAGCACCTGGGAAACAGCTACTGTCAGACTGACCACTGCGGTGGAAGGTCCGAGCCCTGGTGAGTGGCATAGCCCCGGGCGGTCTCCCCGCCCCACTGCTAACCAGTTCTGGTCTCTCTGACGTCCTGCCCTCGTCAGGCACCTGCATTCTGCCCTCACGGCAGTCCCAGGAGGCAAGTTCTGCAAACGAGCGTCACTTTACCACATGGGAAGACCCTTGCCCAGGGCCACACGACCAGGAGGTGGTGGACCCGGGGCTGCAGCCGCTCCCAGGTAGGCTTCGGGGCCCACGCTGCTCACATTGCTGCCCCTGAACGTGGTGCCCTGTGACAGAGGCTGCAGGGGCAGGTGGAGGGGGCAAAGGTGGAGGCAGGACCACAGAGATGCTTCCATGAGAGTCCGGGTGGGAGAGCATGGTGGCGGACCAGGGAGGGGATGTGAAGAGAAACAGCTGGATTTTGGCTGCATCTTGGAAAGCAGAGCCAAGCGCACTTACTGATGGTTTGGAATATAAGCGAGAGGAACCAAGGGGGACACTCAGGTTTCTGGCCCTAGCTGTCGGCAGGGCGGAGATGCCGCTGACTAGGACGGGCGGGTTCCCACAGCTGGCCTGCACGCACACAGTGCACACACAAGCCCGCACGTCCACACACACATCCACACACCTGCAAATCGCCTTAACAGCAGCACAGACACTGGGGTGGTCCCTGGCTCCTGGGGAAACCGAGGCAGGCAGCAGGCTGTGGACACTCACCGACACCCAGCATGACGAGGGGCGTGTGCTCCCAGCGGGCCAGCAACAGGAGATGGACCAGGTTGTGGGCGATGAGGCCAAAGCACAGGACCACGCAGCACCATTCCTGAAAGCGCTTGCCTGTGGGGACGGGGCCGGAGGTGAGGGCACACGGGCAGGAGACCCTTGGGCCTCCTCCACAGGGGTCCAGAGTCTACGGGGCCAAGACAGCACACTCACGGACAGGCCCCAACTACCGTTTCCTGGATGTCACTGGGGCGCTGAGCAGAGTGGGTACCGGTCAGTGGGCACCCTCTCAGGGCTGGCCGCCATCACATCAAGCGAGGGGCTCTCCCCCAGGGGCCCTGTGCACAAGGCACAGTCCTGGAAGCCGGCCTTCGACTGCAGGGCGCCGAGTGGCCCTCTGGAGATGCCTCTGGGGCGTTGGTGAGCGCTTCTAGCCTGTTGCAGCATCACGGGTCCCCTTTTTGCAGGTAAATATTTGGAGATGAGGACGCAGGTGCTGTTTAATCCTGGAGGTTCAGGCCCTGCCCACCCTCCAGGCACTGAGTCAGGCATCCAGGAGAACCAGGCCTTTCCACTTCCGTTCTGAGGGCAGGAGCCGCAGTCTGGGATTCAAGCCGCGGGAGACGAAGGGCTCGAAGTTAGGTGAGTGGAGGGTGGTGGGTGGGGTGCGGACAGGGGTCACAGGCTGGCCCACTGCCATCAGGCGGGCAGAGGACCAGGACAGCACAGGCTAGAGCTCTTCATGCTTAGAAGCCAAGAACCAGGATATTGATGTGAAATCACCTCTTAAATGTTGCCACGTTTTTTTAAAGGTGCGTGAGATGGGACAAGCTGATTTACTGGCAGCAGGGTGTCAGGACCTTGGGAGCAGCCCGAGAGCCCACTGCCTGGGGCATCAGGCAAGTCAGCCTGGGCTGAGTCACGGCCCAGGCAGCCAGGGAAGCCGCAGGAAGCCGGGGTGGCTGTTTCTCCGCAGCCCCCACGGGTAAACAGTATCAAGCCCAGCTGGACCTTCCCCTTTCTGGTTCCTGTCTGGCCAGGGCCTGGAGTCCAGAAACAGGAGCTGGGTGGGTAGGCACAGGGGAAAGGACAAGTGACTCCTTAGTGCCAACCTGCTCCCCTCCAGTTTACAGGACAGTAAGGGGATCAAATAACAGGAACAACACAATGTCTACGCCACTCAGGCCTGTCACCACCGGGGGCCCACATCAGTGACACACAGACCTGATTCTTCGGGCAAATTCTGCTTTCAGTTTTACAGTAAATTAGCCATGCTTATAAAAAGAAAGCACACAAAATGCCTAGTTTCCCTCTTCCCCTGAGAGACAGGGCTCTGGCCCCGGGTCCGAGCTGGCTAGCTGCCCCCATGAGATGGCCATGGTCCCTCCCCCGCCCTCCTGAGTGGCAGCCCCACACAGGTGGTCTCCTCGTGGCACTCCCAGCCAGGCCCTGCTGGCATGGTCTCATTCAAGCCCTGGCCCACTGCGAAGACTCTGCAACCCCACTTCCCCGAGGACAAATCCAAGGCTGAGGGTAAGAATGAAGCCCTGGCCTGGGTCCTGGGTCTGGGCACAGGGAACGTCAGTCTGGATGCTCTGGACAGTCATGTTCCCACTGTCACTCAGCGACCCCCTGCCACGGAGAAAGAATGTCCCTGAATCTGAATGCTTTTCCCTCTGGACGCCATCTCTCTGGCCTCTAGATCCTTCTGCAGGCCATGTGCCTCAACCTGGGTCCATGAGAAACACACGGGTAACACTCAGTGGCACGAGTGGAGCAGCCGCGTGCCAGGGAGGTCCCGGCCCACCTGCCCTCCTCAGGGACAGAAACTAGGCCTGGAGAGCAGTTTCTTTACGGTTACTCTACAATGACTTTGCCCTGAGTGACTTGAGGGTCACCAAAACCATAACATGGACAGTCAGCCTGGCAGAGCCTATGGGCCAGGGGGTTTAAGCGACGTCACTTTACAGATGCACAGGCTGAGTCCCGGGGAGGGAGAACTTGGCTTGGGACACCAAGAGGCCCTGGACTTCCGGATGGCACCCCTGGCCTGGCCTGGCTCTGTGATCTGAGCTGAGCTGCGGCAGCGGCAGCTTGCTGGTCCAGGGGGAGCCAGGCCTGTGTGCGGTAGGTACAGAGAACTGGGAGTCACGGGAAGGCCGGGCGCCAGGCATGGCCAGCTCTGCTTTCTGGGGGCAGGCAGCAGCCACAGGCTTGGCATGAGGCCTGCCCTCCTGTTCTTGTTTCAGTCAGGCAAGTCCTGAATAGCCTCATTTTGGGGGTACCTTGGCCACTAGGGGACCATCAGCCTCAGGGTATAAGGGGACAGGAGGTAGGGAGAGGACGGGGACCGGAGAGAGAGAGACAGAGATATGCAGAGGCAAGAGAGGGAAGGAATCGGACACAGAGGGATGAGAACCACAGGAGAAAAACGAGGCAGAGACAGGGTGAGGTAATATGGGGATGGCGAGGGAAAAAGAGGTGTGTGGCTTAAAAGGAGAAAGGAAGGCTAGAAGAACTGGGTTGAGGGAGACATAGAGGACACTGGGCCTGGAGTCCAGCCAGGGCCAGCAAAGGGCCTTAGGCCTCTGCCCTCAGGCCCACTGGGGGTAACTGAAGCCAGGTTCAGCTCTAGGACGACAGCCCGGACCCCTGCCCAGGACCCTGACACAATGCTCTATCCTTCCCCGACCCCATTCTAAGAACCTGTGTCCCCAAGACAGGAGGTGGCGCAGTGGGCCAGGGTGGCCCCTGGAGCCTGGGCACCTAGGGCGGTCTGGCACACCGTCCCCGGCGGTTAAAGCTGGCATTGCTGGGAAGCGGGGTTCCTGCCTCTCCTCTTGATTGTCCACGAGGTCAGGGAGGCCTACCAACCCATCAGGCCCTTCGCCAACCCTGGCCCCTGATAGGGGGAGGCCTAAACCCAGAATGGGGCTCTCTATGGCTCCCAGGGCCCTAAGCCCAGGCCCAGCCCAACTGGGGGCCCACAGACAGGCTGAGGCTGCTTCTCCCCTTGCTGGTCCCTGTACCCCACGCTGCCCTGAGCGGCCCACTCACAGCTTTCTCTGGACACCCGGTCTGCGCTCTCTGCCGCCGGCCCCGCACACATGCCCCTCTGCTGGCCTGGAACATTGGACCCCCACACCCGTCTTGGGCTGGCTCTGTCCCACAGTGAAGAGTAAGAACACAGAACCTAGAACGCCGCCCGCCAGAGTTCTGGTTCTGGTCCTGTTGCTCACTGGCTGCGTGACTGCAGGCAGGTCCCTGCTCTTTGCTGAGCCTCAGGAACTGCCTGGAAGATGGACAGGACTCCAGGCACTGCAGCACAGACTGATGCAGTCTGGGGTGTGCTGATCATCTTTAAGGAAGAACACATCGGGGGTTGGCATGGAGGGGCCTCGTTTCTTCCCCTTAAAATGGGATCAATATCAGGATACACCCCAGACAACTATGGGGGATATGACAGCGTGTGAGGACACTGCCCAGCGGTCAGTGCCCAGCAGCTGCCCATTACTGCTGACTGCCACAACCCTCAGGTGCCACCTCTGGCCCCAAGAATCTCAGGAATTCAGTCCTGGAAGCCCAAAACCTCTACTGTCCCCTTGCTCACTCTGTTCTAGCCCTCAGTACTGGTACTCCAGCCACGCTCTACCTCAAGGTCTTGCCGTGCTGGGGCCCGGGTCTGGGCCAATCCTTCCTCAAATGGCGTCACGTGTCTCTTTCTTCAGGTCAGTTCAAATGTTTCCTGCTCTGAGAGGCCTTCGCAGCCCCAACAATTCACCTCCCCCTTTCGTAGTATAAACTTGTTCCGAGAGCCTGCCTCCTTTGGATGAGCGAGCTATTTTCTATTTACTCCATCTCCGTTTCTCCGCTGCTTTGCCCCTGAGGGCTAGAAGGGGGCCTGGGCGGAGCTAGTATGTACAGAATCTGCCCCTCGCTTTCCACGCCAGGCCCAGAGAGGTCAAGATAATTCTCCAGGGCCACAGGGTGAGGGGCAGAGGCAGACAAAGGGAGGCCTGTGAGATGTGGAGAAACTAGTCTGATCAGTCTCCCACTCTTTCATTCCCCCCCCAACCCCCAAAACCAGGTCAGGAAGCGATCGAGGCTTTGACTGCACGTTTGGGGAACAGTTATCTCCAGACTCAGATTTCTGTGTGTCTGTTCTTTAGCGTGAGGCTCACTTGGGAGAACCGGAACAGGACAAAGATGCAGTCACATAATGGGCATCGGCCTGCTACGCCTTGGCTGGAAGGGGTAGGGTTTACTGGAGAGAGCGGAGGGTCTGGAGGAGGACCTTGAGGGAATCTGAGGCCCAGAGAGGAGCGGCAAAGCTTTGCTCAAGACTCATAGGAAGGTCAGACCATTAGGTTAACAGTGGGGAGTGTCCACTGTAGGCCATGCACTGCAAGCAGTGGTGATCTCATTCCATTTCCTTTGTCCAGTGAGGCTAAGGGGCAGATAAACTCCATTCTGTACCCCTGTCGCTGTGAGGCAGCTGGAGCTCAGACAGGGCCAGCAGCCCCGCACAGGTCACACAGGACACCCCATAAGGACCCCAAGCATCGCAGGGACTGGGGTTTTAAGTCCACCGGCTGGGTGTTTGAGTGAGGTAACCATGGCAGAATGAGTCAGGTGCCGAGTCAGATGAAGAAAAACATCACACCCAGAGTGTGGAAGTGGAGGCCAAAAAGGCCTCTGTCATGAAGAAAACAAATGGCCAAGGTCAAGCAGCAAGTATGAGAAGAGGGCAGGAAACACAGGCAGACCGAAGATGGGGAAGGCCCCGAGCCCGTCCAGGTACAGGCTGTGCCTCTGTCGCTGGACAAGAGGAAGGAGGCCAGTGGGGTCTCTGGCAGCTCCCAATCACCTGACTCTGGGCCCTCACAGGCACTTCCTTAACCCTTAGGGGAAACGCAGCTCTCCAGGGGCTTGCCAAAGTATGCCGGGAGTCCAAGTGAAGTCAGGGAAAGGAAGGGTGGTGTTTGCTGGAGTAAGGATGGCAGGCACAGAACAGGCCAGGGACCTTGGCTTGAGGAAGGAGGGTCTCTGAGTTGTGGGCTGGGGAGCGCTGGCCAGCAGTCTTAAAGGAGGGGGATAATACATGCACAGCCGCAGGAAAGGGCGGAGGGCTGGCGTTGGGGAGGAGCTTCAACTGGAGGATTTGCAAAGCCTCCCTACCTGGGGTTCCCAAATACAGGTGATGGCTAATGCTCCCCTCAAGGGATGCAGGGGAAGGGTAAGAGGGCTGGGATGGTGGTCTACAGTTGGTGACTAGGATGGGGCTTTGGGGGTAAGGCTTCTGGGGCCTGTGTGTTGTGGTGCCAGGTTTTGGGGAGTGAGGCCCATTTGGGGTCCTAGGGACTGAATTCAAGATCTGGGGAACATGGGATGAGATGTGACTTTTAGGCGGTTGGGGGCACTGCATGTTGCTGAGAGGCTGCTTCTGGGGATCAGCTTTAGAGTTGGGGGTTCCCTAAGTAGGGGCGCTGCTTGCAGCCTTGGGTGTCCGGTGGGCTAGGATCCGGATCTGGGGTTGCAATGGGAACAGTGTGTAGTGAGGAACTGATACAGCAGTTCCCAGATGTGGGGGCCCGTCTTTGCATCCAGCAAGTCCAGTAGGGGCTGGGGATCTGGCCCGGCTTGGAAAGGGCATCGGGTGGGGGTCCCCGGACTCGGGGGAGCTATTTGCAAGTTAGAAACTGAGGTTAAGTTCTGCATTGGGGCCCGAGGCTGGGGATCCGACCTGGGAGACCCGAGTTCGCAGTCTGCAGCCCGGGCTGGTGATTGCAGGCCCGGAGGGGGACCCCGAGTTCCTACCTGGTGAGTAGAGGGCGGCCAGCTCGCGGGCCCCGGCGTGTTGCGCGCCCCAGCGCCGGCAATACGCCGCCTCGTCCTCGTCGAGCTCCGGCTCCTGGCCCGGCCCATCCTCCGGGCCCGACATGGCCACTCGCCCG